TTTAAAATATTCTGTTTTATTTTTTTTTAATCTTATGTGTATGAGTGTATTGCCTGCATGTATGTGAGTACACCCATGTTGTGCAATGCTGAGGAGGTCAGAAGAGGGCTTCGGATTCCCCTGGAACTGGAGTTAAGGACGGTTCATAGCCACCATATAGGTGCTGGGAACCGAACCCGGGTCCTCTACAAGAGCAGTCAGTGCTCTTAACTGCTGAGCCATCTCTTTAGTCCCAATAAAATGTTTTTTGGAAAAAGGAAAGAAAGAAAGGAATCGCCAGGCCTGGTGGCATGCACTTTAGTCCTAGCACTCATGAGGCAGAGTCAGGCAGATCTCTTGAGTTCTAGGCTAGCCAGTGCTACCATAGTGAGACACAGTCTCATAAAAAGAAAGAAGTAGCTTCTCAATAAATAAACATAACAAATATTAAGCAATAATACAACTGGGCAAGATGGTACACACCTTTATTTCCAACACTCGAGAGGCCCATGAGACAGGAGCATTGTTCAAGGCCTCCTTGGACTACATAGTAAGGTCATGTCTGAAAAGAGGAGAAACAAGAAGAAAAGGAAAATAACATTGTCTGAGCATGTTAGCCATGGGTCTCTGTTGCTAGAGTTATGAATGATTCTCTTTTTCTTTCAACCTTCACGTTTAAAATCTATATAAGAGAAGTACCCAGAAAGAAAGATGCATCGAGAGAATAGGCAGGCTTCTCAGAGCGTTGCCTCCAAAATTTCCCATAATGTACATGTTATTCTGGTAGCAAGAGAAAATGTTTACTGTTTTATGAAAAGAAACTAGGAGCAAACAGGCTCTCATAGAATTGGTATGCACAATTAACGTTTCATTTGTTGTTCTGTATTTCCCTTTCTCTTTAGCCGGTGACTACCCAGGCTGCAGCCAAGACTCGTTCTTCCCAGTTTGGTGTGGGCAACTTTCAGACTTCATCTTCCTTCAATGCTATGTCTCTCCCTGGTGCTCCCACTGCATCACCTGGTGCTGCTGCCTACCCTAATCTTGCTAATCGTGCATCTAACTTTGGTAAGTTCAGGCTAGAAGGAGGACAACAGCAAAATGGAATTATTAAAGAGAAAGGATTTGGTAGTTAAAATTGTTTCCCTGGGTCCTGTATGTACTGACCTAATTCTAAGGAGATGCATGGTGACTGTGTTGTTTTTTTGTTGTTGTTGATTCTTTTTTTTTCTTTTATGTATATGAGTGTATTGCCTGCATATGAGTGCACCCGTGTTATGCATTGCCTTGGAGGTCAGAAGAGAGCTTTGGATTCCCCTGGAACTGGAGTTAAGGACAGTTTGTAGCCACCATGTGGGTGCTGGGAATTGAACCCGGGTCCTCTGCAAGAGCAGTCAATGTTCTTAACTGCTGAGCCATCACTCCAGCCCCAACTCTGTTTAAAATTTAAAAACTTGCTTCAGGGGCTGGCAACATGGCTCAGCAGGTAAAGTGCTTGACACACAGGCCTGATGACCTGAGTTTGAGCCTCTGAACCCATGTAAAGGTGGAAGGAAAGAACTGAGTCCAGTTTTCTACTGACTGTCATGTATGTGCCATGGCACACATGCACATGCAGATGCACACAAACAACACACACAAAATAATGTTTTTGAAAAATGATTAAAAAAAGAAACTTGCTATAGGAAAACTATTTTAGCACCTATAACACAACCATGGGAATTACTATAATATTTACAGAAATTGTATTACAAACTACAAAAGTCATATATATTCGATGGAATGCAAATTTAAATGAGCAAAGAACTCCAGAAAGGCTATCTAGAGAATAAAGTTAATTTGAAACTGGGTTTTGAAATAGAAGAGGCATTGATTAGCAGAGAGAAGAACAGAAGGTATCATATGCAAAATTATTGGCATATGCAACTGTGTCCTAGTTTCTCCTCCCTAATAGATTTAAATTATTTATCCTTACTGTTTTTCTAGCTCCTGAGACTGGACAAACCGCAGGACAATTCCAGACCCGGACCGCAGAGGGTGTGGGTGTCTGGCCACAGTGGCAGGGTCAGCAACCCCATCATCGGTCCAGTTCTAGTGAGCAACATGTTCAGCAAACATCAGCACAACCACCTAGTCAGCCTGAGGTCTTCCAGGTGAGAAGATAAAGACTTCAGAAAACAGGAAACCAGGGTTAGGGTCAGGGTTAGGGTTAGGGTCAGGGTCAGGGTCAGGGTCAGGGAAGAGGGACAGAGAAGGTTGGGGTTGTGTGGAATAAGGCAGAAGGAATATGTACAAATAAATGCCAGTAATTGAAGAGATCATAACTTAGTGTGATACACACTCCTAAACTAGACAAAAGTAGTTATGAGAAGCAATATGTAAAGACGCTGAGGAAAGTTATTTTAACTCATTCACAGAGATCCATGTTTCAAAATAACTTTGGATTTTAAATAGGATGATAAAAAGGTATATGAAATAGAACATACTGATTGTAGCTATAAAGACCTAGTTATATTAAGTCCTAAAGGGACTGTAAGATTGAATGGGGTAATCTTAGGACAGAGAAAGATCCTAGTGTAAAACACAGATTGAAAGAAGGCAAAATAAGTTTTGGTAGAAAACAGAATTAGATAGGCTTCAGATATATCTATAGTGGGTAAATGAATGTGGCAAGCATATTTTTTGAAAATATCAAGGACTAGAAAGAAGGAAAATGTGGAACTAGAGGAGGAAAAGAAGAGACTGGGAAAAAAGGCTGTGCTGTAAAGGAGTTAGAGTTCCTGGGAATAAGGAAGGTTGAAAGAGCTCAGCACAACACAAACCTTTTGATTTCAAGGTACAGAGGCAGGCATGGTTGGGCATGCCTTTAATCCCAGTACTTGGGAGCAGAAGCAAGCAGATCTCTGTGAGATCTAGGTGAGCTTGGTCTGCTTAGAGAGTTCCAGGCCAGCCGGGGCTACACAGAAATCCTGTCTCAAAAACTAAAAACCAAAACCAAACCAAAAAACCAAACAAATCAAAAACCAAAAAAAAAAAAAAAAACCAAAAAAAAAAAAAAAAAAAAAAACCAACAAAAAAGTGTGGGACCAGTGAGTTTTTGGAGGGAACGCAGTAAAAGTAAGGGGATGTGACCCAAATTTAATCTTTTTCTCTCATTAGGAAATGTTGTCCATGCTGGGAGACCAGAGTAACAGCTACAACAATGAAGAATTTCCTGATCTAACTATGTTCCCCCCCTTTTCAGAATAGAACTTTTGGGGTGAGGATAAGGGGTGGGGGAGAAAAATCACTGTTTGTTTCTTAAATGCAAATCTTTTGTAAACAGAATAAAAGTTCCTCTCCCTTCCCTTCCCTCACCCCTGATGTGTACCCTCTTTCCCTTCTGAACTCCCCATTTCTCCACCCTTTGCCTCTCTGAAGTAACATTTATAGAAGAAATTAAATGGATTTCCCCGGATTTGGGGATCCTCTGAAAATTTGAGGCTAGGTGAGGTTAGAATACCTTTCCTTATGTCTCCTGACCAGAAGTTGTACAACAATGGTTTATGCTGGGGTCAAGGGGCAGGATAGAAGAACCTAACAGCCACTATTTGCCTTGGATTCTATGGCTTGTTTTGGAAAGACATTCTGAGTATAGTGGAGGAGAAGAGAAATGCCCTCACACTTGAGGATCATGGTGGGTATGTACGGAGCTCTAGAAAGTGGATGTAGACTCTTCTACTTCTGAGCAGTTCCCCTGGAAAGAACCATGAGAGTATGAACATTTGTGTTTATTTGTGTGTATATGTGCTCTGTGTGTGTGTGTTTGTGTGTGTGCCTGTGTGCACATATGTGTGAGTTCCTATATTTTTTTTCCTTTCTCCCTATTAAGGAGTTTATGCAAAATTTGTCCCAGATTTTAACTTTTTTTGTTTTAACTTTCCTTGTCTTTTTGTTTGCTCTTCAAAGAGTCCTAAGAAGTTCATTCTTCCAGGTATTTCCCACCAAGTATTGCAGCCAAAGAGTATTTAAATTAAGTCTTTGCTGCACTTAAATCTATGCCCAGCCAAAATGCAACTCTGGGGGAATACATAATTTTCTCTTGATAGGGTTGGTCTCTTACTGAACACATTTAGTGATCAAGCTGGATTACTCCTGCTTTATTGGTGCTCTCACTTTATCTGGAAGGTCTGCAGATATTACCAAAATAGGCTGGCTAGATGAACACTTTCAGAAATCCCAGGCTTGGCCATAAGGATAATGCTGCATTTTTGTGAATCACATATGATATATGTTTTGGAGAAGTTATTTCTGCATGGAAACTCAATTTCTTGGATTATCGGTCCCAGTGAAAGTCTCACTGATGGATTGATTATAAACCAAATATAAAGCCCTCTTGCAAAGTAGCCTCTTCTGTCTTTAAAATATCCCATGTAGCAAAAAATATATCTAGGACTTTCTAAAGTCTATAGTTCTTCACTCCCTCTCCAATCTTGAGATTGAGTTTTGCTTTGGAGCACAAATGTAGTCTGTGTTAGGTGGGGCCTGGACTCCCATCCCAACAGGGTCACTTTGTAATTATAGCCATATAACTATGGATACAGGTCACCACTTTCACCTTTTACCTCCTCAGGTAAGTCATATATCAGCCTTTTTAAAAAATTGGCTCCTGCTAGTATCTAAACACAAGACTGAATTAATATGGAAAAGATATATTAGGTGTATTCATAGGGGATTGAGAGGCAACGATGGCCTTGGAGAGGCTGTGGGAAGGTTATTTACAAGATTTCCCTCCATTTATCTCCAGTCTGGTGCCAGGTAATAGAATGAGAGAGGAGACTATTTTTTTTATTCTATGTGCACGCATACAGTATACATATATATTTATACCACAATTTACAAAGCCAAAAAGTTGAGTTTCCAATGGAATATTTGTTTTTAATAATTGACTTGTTTTTAAATGTGATTGAAATTATAATGTACAGTTATTATAGGGCTTTTAAGGAAGGGGAGGGGAGGGAGAAGAAGCTCTGAGGGTTTTGTTTCTGCTTTTCCTTCAGGGTTTCATTTTTGATTGTTTTTTCTTGTTGGCCATTTCTGTATTGCTGGCATCTGTGCTAAGCCTTACAGTGGCAAAACTAATGACATGTAGCAAAGATTTTAAAACAAAGTATTTTTTCCTTTTGTAAAATTTCTTGTGTCATGTGATCTTGATTGCGTCTTCCTTATTTCTTTCCAGCTCATAAAATAACAGACACCCACAACTAAAAGAATCCATAATTTGTGTTCCAGCCATATAAGCATAAAACATGATGAAGTCTTCATTTCAGGAATTTGGAATCATAGGGCTCTGATCACTCAGTACCCTGTTCCTCACTTGCCCTCCTGATCCTGACACATCATGAGTAAAATGAGTAGAGATTCTGATCACACTCTGGGAGTGGGATTTTCTAATCCCTTGGTTGTGGGGGAGGGCTGTTGGAATTTAAAGCCACTAGGGCACATCTGGATAGCTTTCCTGTGTATGTCTTCCTGATTGAAAGGAGCTGGGGATTGGGAAATCTAAACTCACCTGGGCTCTCTCTATAACCATGTGATTCATTACTAACTCTTAAAATCCTGTGTGTGGGATCCAGCTAAAAACTGAATCTAAACATTTAGTAATATTTTTTCTATTCGGAGGTCCCTCATTTCCTAATTCCTCACATCTGTTTATGGAAGAAATGGAGTTTAGGGGCATGGTTGACTGAGCTACAGTCTTATGATCTGTCACATGCCTGGATTTTAGGGAAGCATTTGGAGAAGCTCTTGTGACTGGACCTAGACTGGGAATTTTAATGATTGCGATATGGTGCTCATCAGACATCCTGCTTTCTCAGTTTTAGGAGAAGAGTCACATGTGTATCCTTCAGCCCTTTGATTCCAGGGTTGTGAATAATTAGGCATGCTGCTTTGGGTCACTCTTTAAAAAAAAGTGCTGTATTGGGCATTGAACCTAGGGCTCACACATGTTAGACAAGCACTCCATTAAGTTTTTAAACTTTATTTTGAGACCAGATCTCACTAAGTTGTCCAAACTGGCCTTGAACTTGTGATCCTGCTTTAGCTTCCTGAGTACTAAGGATTACAGGCCTGAACCACCAGACCCACTCAGTTCTTATGTCACCTTTAAATCTAGTTTCATCTAAACTTCTGGGGAGCTCTTCCTTATGCATAACCACATTGAGTTAAGAAAGCTATTTTCCTGCCTAGAAGCAGTAACAACAGTCATATGTATATATATGTTTTTTTAAATTGGAGCTTTATATCCTATATGCTTCTCATTCTGCCCTTTGATTTTTGTTTTGTTTTTTCCCATCATCCCAGAAGAGTCTGACATGAATTTGAAAACAGTATTCTGTGAGGAGGAGGTGGGTCCTGACAAAAGGGTAGGGAAAGATGGAATTCCCCAATAAAAGATTTTGAGGAAGAAGGATGGAGACAACTAGGGCTGTACTTTTCAGTTCCCCACCAAATCTCAATTTGAAAGAAGTGTGCTGAGGTCTTATGTCTACCTCCAAAGACAGTCACATAAAACTAGCAACTGCTGGCAATGCTCAGTCCTGGCACCCAATATTGTACACACAGGAAAACATTGCACAAATCTGTTGCATCCTTCCACCCTAACCCCCCTCGCCTCAGCATTTCTATCCCCGCCTCCTTCCCTTATCCAAATTTTCCAGCCAAGTGCTGGAGCTGACTTCCGCAATCCTGATGGAATAAATCTAGCACCCTTAGTCTTCCAGTCACATTAGCCATACTTCCTGGTTGAAAGGAGCCTAGACAGCACTCTCAACAGCAGGTAATGTTTCTAACTTCTGGGTCTTTTTCTCTTCTCATTCCTACCAGTTCTCTTAGTTTAAGATGAGGAAGGATGTAGTGAATTAGGGGGGGCGGGGGTGAAAATAAGTTTTTTGAATAAAAACATTCTTAGCCGGGCCTGGTGGTGCACGCCTATAGTCCCAGCACTTGGGAGGCAGAGGCAGGAGGATCTCTGTGAGTGCAAGGCCAGCCTGGTCTACGTAGTGAGTTCCAGGACAGCTGGGGCTACAGGGAGACCCTTCTTCAAAAACACAAATAACCAAAAAAGAAGTCCAGTCTAAAAATGTTAGGCTAATTCAGATACAATCTATGGAAATCTTTAGGATTCCTTTATGATTGTATATGTGAACCACATTGTTAGTAAAATAAAAGGAACAGAATTCTGTATTCATCTCTCAAGTGGATTCTTTCTGGAGTTCTGATTAGCTAGAAGGGTTAACATTACTGAGGAGGAGGAATACTGTTAGGTGGAATACAGTATTTCTACTTACAGCCGTCTCCAATCCTATGACACTCCAGCGTCCTGCTGGATATTTTGCTGCATTGCAAAGATTATATAAAAGTGGACTGTAAAGTTAGTATTGTACAGTCATGACATGTTGGTGACAGCAAATAGTTTCTAAACTTAAAAATTTGCAATTAGGCAAGCTACTGCAAGAAATTAATGAAGCCAGCACAAATTTCTGAAAAGCTGTAACTTAATCCAAAAGAGAGCATTGCCCTTCCATCCTACATTCTTCTCACCTTGTTCCTCTGAGACTTCTGCCCTGAGAGGGAGCCATAGAGATTGTTCACTGATGGAAGAAATAGAACTGCCTGCCCATGACATCTGGTTAAGATTAGAGCAGCTTCCTGCCTAAAGAGGGAGGGGAGATGGGGAAAGAAGGAATGGATAAGGAAAGCAAAGACACAGTAAACATACCATAGTTAAATAATATCAATTTAGCCTTGTCTTTCCCCTGCAAGTTCTGAAAGAGAATCAGGATTCAGACAAGGAAGAAAAGGCTACCTTGAAGAAATCACAAAACATAGTGTAGCTAGAGATCTTTGTGTAGTTTCTAACTTCAAGCCCCCTTGTGTTAATTTTGTCCATGAACTACCTATAGAAGACAGGAGCTAATATCCCAGTTATCCACTTTACCCCATTTCTGGTTGTTTGCAGTGTGTGTTGTGAGCACTGGCTGAACCTCCCTGTGTTGCAATACATTAAATCAGCCCCTCTGTACCCAGCGTCTGTCTGTTACTGTTTATCATGAAAACCACTCTCAATTCCTAGTCTATTTCCTATGCACAGCCAAGTTTGCCTGTCTTATAGTTCAGAGGAAGGTTTCTTTGGGTTCATGAATCCACTAGGATTATTGCATGTGTTTGCATTTTTCTGGTAAAAGAAACCTTTTTTTTTAAAAAAAAATTTGTGTGTATGCATGTATTGCCTACATGTAGGTAAGTGCACCCGTGTCATGCAATGCCCACAGAAGACAGAAGAGGCTGTCGGATCCCTGGAACTGGAGTTACAGACAGTTATTAGTTGCCATGTGGGTGCTGGGATTTGAATCCAGCTCTTCTGCAAGAACAGTCAGTGTTCTTAACCACTGAGCCATCTCTCCAGCCCAAAAGAAACATTTTTATTACCTCCTCAAAGGGGTTTCCTTAAAGGTTAAGAGCCACCTGCCTGGGAATATGGCTGCAGCTGTTCCACATCCTAAGCCACCCTGTGAACCTTCTGCCAATGGAAGTCTCCCCTAATTATTCCCTTTCCCAGGATGTGGGGGTTCAAGTTACTGCTGCTACCCATGGTGAGCTTTGCTCTGTACCCTGAGGAGATTTTGGATACCCAGTGGGAGCTATGGAAGAAGACCTACAAGAAGCAGTATAACAGCAAGGTGCCTGGGGTCTTGGAGGGGAGCGTGATGGAGGGCTGGGCCCTGAGATCTCTAGTTTTAGTGTCAGATTCTCTTCTTCAGTCTAAATATAGTGCCTTACTCCAAACAAGCAAACCTGTCCCTATTCCCTAACTATTAGCTGATAGTTTGCATTTCTGTGCTTCATCCTCTATCAAGGCCTAGTCTTCCTCCACTTTACAGCTGTATTAGCTGGAGGTGTAGATCAGTGATGAATCACTTGCCAAGCATGTGCACTGACTGAGTTCAATCCCTAGCACCACCACAAATGGAAAAAAATTCTCTTTTGGGAAGATCTCTCATACTAATGCTACTATTCTATAGATCTCTCCAGAACTTTGCATTACTTTTTAAAACATTTCTTTTTGTATGCTCTTAATCATGCATGGTTAGTCCCCTAACTAGATCGCAAACTTCTTACTAAGTTACATCTTTTCACCTAAAAACCCTCACATATGACCAATGTAACATTGCACAGAGTCTACATATTTACTCACTGTACTCTATTTAGGTGGATGAAATCTCTCGGCGTTTAGTTTGGGAAAAAAACCTGAAGCATATTTCCATCCATAATCTTGAGGCCTCTCTTGGTGTCCATACCTATGAACTGGCCATGAATCACTTGGGGGACATGGTGAGTTGAGTCTTAGATACAGGCCCACCCACTGTCTGCCTAGTCCCCTGCTAATGCTTGCCTCCTTTGTCTCAGACCAGTGAAGAAGTGGTTCAGAAGATGACTGGACTCAAAGTCCCCCCCCCTCACTCCCACAGTAATGACACCCTCTATATCCCAGAGTGGGAAGGCCGAGCCCCAGACTCCATTGACTATCGAAAGAAAGGATATGTCACTCCAGTCAAAAACCAGGTACTCTTCCTTGTGTGTGAATAGATAATCTAGCCTGACCTCTTTCTTGTTCTGCAGCATTGTTCTTGAGATAGAGGAGCAGGATGAGAGACCAAAGAATTATGTACCATATGTCCCCCCATGCTAAGAGAGCATATTCCATTATTAACCCATTTTTTGGTATATTTAGATTTTTTTTGTTTCTAAAAAATCATATAATAACCACAAATATTCAATTTAAAATATTTTTTAAATTACACACTTCTGGGTCGGGTGACATATGCCTTTAATCCCAGCACTTGGGAGGCAGGTAGGTTTCTGTGAGATCAAGTTCAGCCTGGTCTACATAGTGTCAGGCCAGCTAGGGCTACAGGGAGACCTGTCTTTTTTAAAAAAAAAATTTCACATAGAATTGCAAAAAGCATCCTGTGCATATGTTTTTGTAATATAGAAATACATAAAACAAATCCTGAAATTGGAATTACTAAGACAGAGAATCCTTTAAAAAATGTTTTTCAGTCTTAAATTCTTATCAGCAATAGAATCCTAGCTTTTCCACAACCTTAACAGCATAGGATTATATCAGTGAGATGAAGAATAGAGTTAGCATTCATTTAACAAATATTCCCTATCTTCCAGAACCTAAGAAGTACAGTGTTAAGCAGTAGAGATTCAAAATAACTAAGATACAACCTTCCTCCTCAAGAAATTGTCATTCTTTTTTTTTTTAATTAAAAAAATTTTATTTGTAGCTAGGTGTAGTGGTGCACGCCTTTAGTCCCAGCATTTGGGAGGCAGAGCCAGGCAGACCTCTGTGAGTTCAGGGCCAGCCTGGTCTACATAGTGAGTTCCAGGCCAGCTGGGCTACAGGGAGACCCTGTCTCAAAAAGACAAAAAAAAAGAAAAAAAAATTTTAATTTATTATTTTTATTTTATGTGTATGTGTGTATTGCCTGCATGTAGGTAAGTGCACCTGCGTCATGTAATGCTGGCGGAGGTCAGAAGAGGCCATCAGATCCCCTGGGCCTGGAGTTATGAACAGTTAGCTGCCATGTGCATGCTGGGATTTGAACCCGGGTCTTCTGCAAGAACAACCAGTGTTCTTAACCGCTGAGGCCTCTCTCCAGCCCCAAGAAATTGTCATTCTTTTTTGGTCTTTTTGAGACAGGGTTTCCCTGTAGGCCCAGCTGTCCTGGAACTCACTATGTAGACCAGGCTGGCCTTGAACTCACAGAGATCCGCCTGTCTCTGCCTCCTGAGTGCTGGGATTAAAGGCGTGCACTACCACACCCGGCAAGAAATTGTCATTCTTAAAAAGTAGAAAAATCAGGACTGGTGAGGTGACTTGGTGATTAAGAGCACTGACTGCTCTTGTAGAAGACCCAGGTTCAGTTCCCAGCACCCACATGGCAGCTAACAACTATCTGTAACTATAGTTCCGGGGATCCATCACCCTTTTCTGGCCTCCACGGGTATTGCATGCATGTGGTGCACTTACATACATGCAGGTATAACACTCATACACATAAATAAAAACAAATAATGTAAAAAAATAGAAAAAAACAGAAAAGAGAAAAAAATCTACAGCCAAGCAGAACCCTAATAATAGCTAGTATTTCTTGAGGACTTATGTGTAAGGAACGTCTAAATTCTTTATGTAAATTAACTCTCTTAATGCCTGAAAAATCTCATTAAATATAGTATTACTCTCTTTTTAGTTTTTTGAGACAGAGTCTTATGTAGCCTAAAGTGACTTCACACTCTATGTAGCTAAGATTGACCTGGAACTCCTGATCCTCTTGTCTTAGCCTCTTAAGTACTGGAATTATAAGTGGTTTGTGCCATTTTACCTAACTTATATTTTAAAGATTTAAAAAAATATTTGGGGGCTGGAGATATAGCTCAGCTGTTATGAGCACTGGCTGCTTTTGCAGAGGACTGGAGTTCAATTCCCAGAACTCACATGGCTCCTAACAACCATCCCTAACTCTAGTTCTAGGGGATCTGATGCCCTCTTCTGACCTCCATGGGCATTGCATAACATGGGTGCACTTACACACATGCAGACAATACACCCATACTCAGAAAACAAATAAAATATTTTTTTAAAGAAGATTAAAAAACTGAGCTGGACTTGGTGATTCATGTCTTTAATCCTAGCACTCAGGAGGCAGAGGCAGGTGGATCTCTGAGTACGTAGGAAATTCCAGGCCAGCTGGGGCTACATAGGAAAACCATGCTGGAAAATTTATTAAATACACCAGAGTCAGGAAAGGGTACAGTTCCTTCACCTGGACTCAATGACCTGTCAACTAACCATGCAACACAAGTGAGTGTGTCACAAGACCCCCAGACAGAGAACTATCCACTGTCCCTGGGGCATCACCTCAGCTCCATCCTTGCTGTTGTCACAGCCTAGTCCAAATGAAGTCTGCCTGCTCATTTGTGTGGACCTGTTGTTCACCTGCGTCTGTTCCTATGTCTGGATCTTGTCCTTTCTTTCACTTCTATAGCCTCTACTCATCCTGGCTCCGACAGCACAATTCTTACCCTGAAACTTGACTCTGGAGGCAGCGGCAGTAGCAGCAGCAGCACCTCTAAGTAGACCTCTAGCCAATTCATTGTCTCATTCCCACAGAGTATTCTTTTTGCATCTCTTTTCAGCCCTTCTGCCTCTCATGCCTTTTTGAAACTCTTGAACTGTGCTGTGGCCTTCTTAATCCTTTGTAGACATTCTTTAGATATATAATGAACTCATACCACAGGACATCTGGGTACACATATTTGACTGGATAAGCCTTGACATATATGACAGAATGTATGAAATCTGGTGGGGGGACACTATAGGG